TCAAATAAAAATTAAGCATTTTATTGGTAAGTAACAAAGTAAATTATTGGACAGAATTGCAATAAATTAAAGGCTTTCCGTCCTCAAAATTGCATTAATAAAATATTTCATCAGTCATTACTCAATTTCATACGGAAACATTAAAGCTTAAAGAACCAGCAAATAAAGTAGAGGAACTTCTATTATATTAATTATTCATCACGATAGATCTGTTAACTTAATAAATGATCCTAGTTAGGTTGCAATTGAGCTACAATTCAACAGATTGACGATAAAAGAGAGATTGAATCCATTAAGAAAGAAAGCTGGCTCCAGCTTGAACCAGGGATGCAGATTGGGCACATGATGAAATAATTAATAAAGCAAACACACGCTATAAGGATATGCATAATATCTAATTAAGTATATTTAGGCTTAGTGGTAGCCATTTCCAACAAAAAAGATAAATAAAATCACACCAAGTCAAGAAAACAAAAGAGGAAAAGAAAAACATTTGAACTTTTTATAAACGTTGCAATATTCTAGAATGCATGAGAAAATCAAAGATTTTAGCTCAAGTGGAGCCTGACCTGAACGTTTAGAGATTGTGAAACTTGAATTATCAATCAATGAGCTCCAAGGAAGAACGTAACAAAGACCCACAAATATAATATAAACATTCGAATTCCCACAGACCTAAACTTATCTACATGAATGATAAGCAGCCCAACAAATGATTCAGTACAATACAGGACATCCGGCAACGTAAAGCTCTGCAAAATTTAGAGAAAAATACTAGAATCTTAAGGAATGTCAATTCTAAATGATGAAACTAAGGCAGCCAATTCAGTTTCAAATAGAAGGAACCTGAGGAAGACTGGAGTGTTTGGGACAAAATAGCTAACCTTGGTATACTTGCATGCAATCTGGAGAGATGAAGACAGGAACCTTGGAGTTGAAAGAATGAAAAACCATGAAAGAACGCTTGAGAAATCAACAGAAAAGCAAATAAGCCCCCTCCAAAAACGAATCCGCCAATGGTTTGGTCAAGTTTTTTTCCCCACCTCCTCTTCTTTATAACCTTGTAATTAATATCATGAATGAAAGTCGTGTATCAAACGCTAAACAAACTTTTTGGCTATTCGAACTAAAGCACTTTTAAACCTTTTTTTCTCCCTCGTACAATTGAAAACAACCTTTTGCAATAGTGACTCGTTATGAAATTACAAACTTAGGATTTAATGCCTTACAAAATTTATGAAATTCTTCATTTACAAACTTAAATGGCAATTCATTCAATAGGACCATACAAGCAAACATCGTTAAATAATTCTCTTGAGTGAAAGATTAGTTATCAAATTACATTTAGAATCTCCTTCAACATAATTCTTTAACTTGTATACTTCTTACATTTCTCCTAAGTGCCTTTTAAAATTTGTTGCCCCATTTCCCCTAAGAATCACGTGCATATGTAGCCCCGTGATATTTATGCTAAATTAATATAATTACACTCGAACTTTGTACTTTGCATCAAAAATATTCTTGAACTTTCAAAAATTTCAATAATACCCTTAACTATTGACACAAGTTCAAAAATATTCTAACCATTAGTTTTGGATGGAAACTATTAGTACTTTGTTCTAAAAATACCCTTTAACTTTCAAAAGTTTTATTAATGCCCTTGAACTTTTAAAAAAAGTTTAAAAAGTACCCTTACCGTTAATACCACATTATAAAAATACCCATGAACTTTCAAAAGTAGAATTGATACCCTTAGCCTTAAACAAGTTCTTACGGTTAATATTTAGACGTAAGCTGTTTATCTAAACCCTAAACAAAAATCTCCTTCTTCAATTTCATCTCTCTCCTCTACTTCAACCTATGGCTCAACAATTTCTCGTTTTTGTCTTGATTCTTGAATATCCTCTTATTCTCCTTCTTTTGTTCCTCAATCTTTAAAACTTCCCTCATTTCTCTTTTTTCTCTTCTTAAATATCAAAACTCTAAATGAAAAGGAGAAGCTTCTCATTGTTGAGCATTTATAAACATAAATATGAAACATTAATACCCAAATAGGCAATTTGAAAACATATTGTCTATTTGCGTGATGAAAATTTTTGTATGTCTAGAAATGCTCACAAATGAGAGATTTCCATCAAAGTTTTGTTATTTAAAAAGAGTAAAAAAGAAAATAAAATAAATGGACGAATTTTTAGAGATTGTGGAAAAGAAGGGGATTAATAGGATATTCGAGAAGTGAGAAAAAGAAAAAAGAAATGAGAAATTGTTAGGGGTAAAAGCAAAGAAGAGAGAGACAATCAAAGAGGGAGATGATCTATGGAGTGAAGATAAACTATTTTTGTTTATATACTAACTCTAGAAACTTATTAAAAATTTGAAAAAAGTTCATAGGTATTTTTGAAACGTGATACTAACAATTCTAGCCATATTCCAACGATAAAGATATTTTTGAAGTTTTAAAAAAGTTTTAGGATATTAATGAAACTTTGGAAAGTTCAAGAATATTTTGAAACACTTTTAAAAGTTCACAGATATATTTGAAACAAAATACTGATGGTTGTCCCCCAAAACTTTAACTTTAATTTTAGTTTAAAGGCATTATTGAAACTTTTAAAAGTTCAAAAACATGTGAAAAGTCTGAGAGCATTTTTATTAATTTAGCCTAATATTTATAAGCAGCCCTATAAAATTCAGCCTAGCATCCCTCTACTTCAGTAAAATGCTCTCAAACATCTGAATATTGTTTAGTAGGTTTTCTTGTCCTTGATAATCCTGCTTTACCACCAACAAGTGAATTAGGATATCATTTTCAACTTAACGAAGAGTTCGACTAGAATAACTTTGTTTAGAAGTCTCAGAGATGAAGCCATCCTAGGACAAAAATACAACCAACTCATGAGTACTCGATTTCTAGAGTTGCTAGAGTAAAAGGCTCATGGGGTTTCTTAAGAAAGAAATCACTTCTTACTTAGTGTAAGCCAGAGCCTAAAACATTGTTAACACGGCTATATATGCAACTTTCTACTCGCATACATACACATGTATGAGATAATCTTTGGAAGCACTAAAAGTGGAACCTAATTAGAACTTGAAAAGAAACAGAGAAGCTAACAACAAACAAAACACACATAGAGCAAAACATTTGGATCTTAAGTACTAAAATTGTAACAGCCCAAACCCACCGCTAGCAGATATTGTCCGCTTTGACTCGTTACTATCGTTGTCAGCTTCACGATTTCAATACACGTCTGTTAGGAAGAGGTTTTTACACCTTATAAGGAATGGTTCGTTCTCCTCTCCAACCGATATGGGATCTCACAATCCAACCCCTTGGGGGTCAGCGTTCTCGCTGGCACACCGTCTGGTGTCTAGCTCTAATACCATTTGTAACAACTCAAACCCACCGCTAGCAGATATTGTTCGTTTTGACCTATTACATATCCCTATCAGCCTCAGTGTTTTAAAACACGTTTATTAGGGTGAGGTTTCCACATCCTTATAAGAAATGTTTCGTTCTCGTCTCCAACCAATGTGGGATCTCACAAAAATAGAATCTAATTACTTCTAATAATGTACCCTTTAGCTGCCCATAAACTACCCAGATTAAGAAATGGAAGGAAGCAACCCAAATGCAATAGTAACATTAGTTTAACACAAACTAATGGCATCTCAGTTGTAAAAGAGAGAGAAAGAGATCAGACAAACAATCCACGCACGTCATTGTTTGTGACTAATCCAGACAAACTTCTCATTCGCTCGATACTAAAACATCACAGGTAGACTAATCCATCATGGAGGAAAGTTTGTGACCAATTTCTCATTCGCGTGATACTAACATATGAACAAAATCAGATCCACAAACAATGGATGTTACTACAAGGTATGCAGCTTAGTAATGAGTTGTTTCAGAAATTCAGAATGCTCTGTTTCAAAAACAGTAAAAAATTGGTAAAAACAAAATTGTAAATACAAACAAGAACGAAGAAGAGAATACAGAAAAGGAAAATAATGGATTTGTCCCAATAATCACTGTTCCTTTTTCCCCCTCTTCTTATTAAATCGGGGTTATAATGGGTTTTAAAGTGGGGTGGAATCCGAAGGGCAGACCAATTTATTCAAAAAGCTACCGGTGACCAGAAAACTAACCTTCACATCGTCGGAGAGGGAAATTGAACGACATCGAGGCGATCACATGCGTAGAGGGAGCGATATCCACGGCGGCTACGCGCGCGAGCCTAAGCAAGGAGAGAGGGAGATCGAACGACGACGAGACTATAGTGCGATAGAATCGGTTCGGTTCTTAAACTCATTAAACCGTGAATTAATAATGATATTTAAAATAATTATATCAATTCGCGCCACACTTGAAAATACATGCCCAAACTTATATCAATTAAAATTTTAAACCTTCTAAATCATATATTTCAAATAATTAATAATTTTTTTTTTGAACTAAATGATGTTTTAACACATATCTAATAAATTAAAATCACCATAACCTTAATTATCAATTTTTTAAATTTTAAAATATATCTAATTTCCATCCCAAATGAATTATTAAATATGGATTAACAATATTCGTCTATATTTGAACATTCTAAACATATCTAAATGTTCTTGACACATAACACTCACTCAAGAATTTTGATTTTGCAAGGAAGTTTTGTCAACGAACCCAACATGTTTCATTAAAAAAAAAAAAAAAAAAATATATATATATATATATATATATATATAAATAATGTTTCTCAAAATTTAAATGCATATAACTGGGCCAAATCCTTAAGCCCATGGGCTTCCTAATGGGTGGAAGAAATCTTCTATAATTGGGCCAAATCCTTAAGGTCATGTTCTATTTAACCAGCCCAATATCGGTGCCAAGTGAATTCTCGTATTTACCCTCACAGCCCAATTTCAGTCGGCTACGCAACCAACCAGAAGTAGATCTTCGTGGAGGACACGTGGAATCATAAAGGACTCCTATAAATATGATCCCAAAGCCTTCCTTTTTCGGAACCTTGAACCCTTGATCCGCATCGCATTACGAGACGTAGGTCTGATAAAAGGCCCACAACAAAAGCGCCGTGAGAGACGAAGAGCGACTTCTTCAAGCCCTAGATCTGCTTCCTCTTCTTACTCGCGCCTCTTAGCTCGCTCTGTCGTTCTCGCATTTCCTTTGATCTTCTTTCTCTCCGTTTCCCCAGGTATGTATTGGGGATTCTTCTCGGTGTTTCTGATTTCGTTTTGATTGTGCTTTTAGGGTTTTTTTTTTTTGAATCTTTAGGGTTAAGGATGGTTTCCGACGCGAGCAAGAAGAAAGCGGCTCAGAAGAAGGCAGCTGCGGCGGCTAAGCGAGGAGGAAAAGCAGCGGCGGCCGCTTCTTCCAAGGCGGCATCTGCCGATTCGCAGAATGGAGTTGATAAGTTGGCGAATGGAGTTGACGCTCTTCAGTTATCTGATCGTACTTGTACTGGTGTGCTTTGCTCACATCCTCTCTCCAGGGACATCAGAGTAAGCCCTAATTTGATTCCAGAATCAGAATCATGATATAGCTATTAATTCTTTTTTTCAAGAAAAAAGAGCCATTGGCTATAATACCTGTATGAATATTTTAATTCACTTTTTTATACGTTTATGCTCCACTATGCAGTTTTTTTTTTTTTTTTTTTTTTTAATCATGCTTACGTTGTTTTCGTCCGTGTTCTATTCTTTAAACTTTGTTGGGAAAAAATAATTCTTCGTTGCATTGTTATTTTTCCTCAACGGAACTCATTGGAACAGTTGTTTATCGATGAATCTTCTGTTTGTGAATGCATTGGTAGGCTAGGTGACATCTAATCGTCTTCTAAAATATTCTTTTATTTTGAAAAGAACTGCTACTGGTTTATTTTTCTTGAGATCTCCTAGGACTATCCATTTTTTTAGCATATGAATATTGAACTTTAGTCGTTCATATTCCTTGCTGATTTACTTGGAAGTGATGTTGTGCTATTAGGGAAGTGTAAGTGATGACGCTGGTAATGTCCTTACATTCATGCTTTTTGCAGATAGAGTCTTTATCAGTTACCTTTCATGGGCATGATCTTATCGTTGATTCTGAGCTGGAGCTTAACTATGGCAGGTTTGCTTGTAATAATGAGCTGGCGTCAATAGTTTCTATTTCCACATTGATTCTTGTGCTTGATGTTCAATATTTACAAATTTTTTTCAGACGTTATGGTTTGCTTGGATTAAATGGATGTGGGAAATCTACACTTCTTTCGGCAATAGGTTGCCGAGAGCTTCCTATTCCAGAGCACATGGATATCTATCACCTTACACGAGAGATTGAAGCTTCTGACATGTCTTCACTTGAAGCTATTATAAGTTGTGATGAGGAAAGGTTGCAGTTAGAGAAGGAGGCAGAAACTTTGGCTGCACAAGTATGTTGATTACAATAGTCCCCATGTTCTAAAGAATTTACTAGTGCTCATTATTCACTTTTCTATTTTAATTTAGGATGATGGAGGTGGAGAGCAGCTTGATCGTATCTATGAACGTTTAGAAGCACTGGATGCAGCAACTGCAGAAAAACGTGCTGCTGAAATCCTGTATGGTCTTGGGTTTGACAAGCAGATGCAAGCTAAGAAAACCCGGGACTTCTCTGGAGGTTGGAGGATGAGGATTGCCTTAGCACGTGCCCTATTCATGAATCCCACCATCCTTCTACTGGATGAACCAACTAATCATCTAGGTATTGACATGCTTTGTGCTTTCTTGTTTTGCTGATTGAGTGGTGGTGATGAATTAATATCTTTTCAGTTATCACCCAATGAAAGAAATAAGTAGGTTTTGAGTCTTATAATATTGATGTTGAACTTGGATTTGGATAATTAATGCAAATGCTTGGCTGGTACACCGATTGGCTGATCATTCTGGTTCTTGCTATTATCAATCTCATACCCTTAGATTCCTTGTCAAACATACATTCTGATCCAATGAGCCCGTTCCTAGGGAACACAAGTGTACTCCCTTTGCAGGGGATGTGCTCTTGCTCAACCTTTGGGTTATGTAGTGTGCATGCAATATTGTTTTCATTAATTAAGTTTTTTTTTTTTTTTTGGGGGGGGGGGTGTATCCTGTTCGTACTACTGCTAAATATACAAATAAATTATTAAGAGCTGTGGAATTTAAGTGCCAACTTTGATTTGTTTTTTGAATTATTTAGTGTATCAATCTGATGAACAACTGTTCTATTTTTTTTTTGATACTGATAGATCTGGAGGCTTGTGTCTGGCTAGAAGAAAACTTGAAGAAGTTTGACCGGATCCTAGTTGTGGTTTCGCATTCCCAGGACTTCCTTAACGGTGTGTGCACAAACATTATCCACATGCAGAACAGAAAATTGAAGATCTACACAGGTAACTATGATCAGTATGTTCAGACCCGTGCTGACCTGGAAGAGAACCAGATGAAAATGTACAAGTGGGAGCAGGATCAGATTGCTTCCATGAAAGAATATATTGCCAGATTTGGTCATGGATCAGCAAAACTAGCACGGCAGGCACAGAGTAAGGAAAAAACACTGGCAAAAATGGAGAGGGGTGGGCTTACTGAAAAGGTGGTGAGAGACAAGGTTCTTGTCTTCCGCTTTGTTGATGTTGGAAAGCTTCCACCTCCTGTTCTTCAGTTTTCGGAAGCAACGTTCGGCTATACCCCTGACAATCTCATCTATACGAACCTCGACTTTGGAGTTGACTTGGACTCTCGGATAGCTTTGGTTGGACCGAATGGTGCTGGAAAGAGTACGCTGTTGAAGCTGATGACAGGGGACCTGGTTCCTCTGGAGGGCATGGTTAGGCGACATAATCACCTTAGAATTGCCCAGTTTCATCAACATTTAACTGAGAAACTAGACATGGAAATGTCTGCTCTCCAGTTTATGATAAAAGAGTACCCAGGAAATGAGGAAGAGAAGATGAGAGGAGCAATTGGGAAGTTTGGGCTCTCCGGTAAAGCTCAAGTGATGCCAATGAAAAATTTGTCTGATGGGCAGAGGAGCCGTGTTATATTTGCCTGGTTAGCATGGAGACAACCCCACTTATTACTGCTTGATGAGCCCACTAATCATTTGGATATCGAGACAATTGACTCGTTGGCAGAGGCATTGAATGAGTGGGATGGAGGTTTGGTCCTTGTAAGCCATGATTTTAGACTTATAAACCAAGTCGCCCAAGAGATATGGGTGTGCGAGAATCAAGCTGTAACCAGGTGGGAGGGTGACATTATGGACTTCAAGGCACATTTGAAGAAGAAGGCTGGGTTCTAATTGAAGCTGTATAACTTGTGAGTTTTCGTTATTATTGAAATCTACAGTGTAGAACATCGCTTAGGGTGTGTTTGCATAACTCCGCAGCTCGGCCAGCATGCGTGTGATGTGCTAACACAACAAGCCGAAGGTCTGAACACTGATGAGCTTGGTTATTGTTTCGAGCTAGCAATTTTAATGGGGCTAGTAGGTAATGTTTTTGCTTAATCATTATTAATTCATGTATCCTATATCTTTTAGTTGGTTTTTGAATCAACTAGATAGAGCCATATCCAATATTATTTTTAGACACCATGCGACTATGAACCCACACTCTTATATTTTCGGTTTTTTATTGAATGAAATATAATGATTTTGTTCCCTATTGGGGCATAATTGTGAGGTGTTCTTGCTGTTGATAAGTGGATCATATAAATATAACTTTGCATGACCTGCAGTTCAGGAAGGGAATCTGAATTTCTTATAGAAATTGTTCCTTCTTTTTGTGACTCTCCTAGCAGGTATAGTTTTGCAGAGAGAATTGGGGTCTTGTCTGGTCTGGCATGAGAGATTTTTTCTTTTCCTGTTTACATTTGCGAGTGGTCGATAGACAATTTGTGTACCCTTAGTTAGTACCCATCCACTTGATCAAATACACAATTCACCCGAGGCTGATGCCCATACTGGACAAATTTGGTGGGTTCTTCCCATTTTCTTTCAGTTTTGAAGACTGCCAATTTTTGTGCGTGTGTAAGATTAGCTTGTTTACCAACTAAGCAAATTCCCAAGGCACCGACATGAGTGCCCTTCGCCGGATGTGCATAGGCCCTCTAATTGGTAATCTTAGGAAGGGAGACAAGGTCCTTGAAGCCTAGCCCACATGAGTCACATGCCCATGATGTTGGCAGGGCCATCCTAGGGACCTAGGATTAACAAGATCTTGTTTAAGTAAAGGAAGAGGACATTATAATTCCTTTCTATCTTTAGTTTAGACAATGATTGTATGATCTTATATTTTGATCTGTTGCAATTAAAGCTGGAGACAATTAACCGTTTATTTATCTACCAACTAAACTAAAACTAACCTTAAGTGGATTTGATTCTAACTTTTATGACAATATCAAACTTCGAAAACACACGATATATATTTATTTAATATTTAAATCCTGTCACAATTTTTAAAGTTTAAAATAAAACACATGCGTGAGAGTACAAAAAACACACCAAATTAAACACAACATAACAGAAGAAATGAACATGTAATCGAATGACCACAAACTTTGATTGGCCATTCTCAAAATACCAATTTTTCAATTGGTAAAAAGTTTTACAATGCTGCGAAGAGTTCGAAGCTACGAAAAAAACAACCTTAATTTTGATCCTCTTGGTCGTTTCAATAGCTTCAAAACCCCACGTTATGGTTCCCCAAATCATACTATCCCTTAAAAGCAGCGATTCTCATTCTCCTCCTCCTCCTCCCATTCCTCAGCCAAGATCCTCTCGAGCTCGCTCGGTCGACACGGGACCGTCAGCGCACCCTCATGATCAAATCCATACTCCTCTGCCGCTGCCTCCAGAAGTCTCAAAAACGTCGGATTATTCAAGCAACTCAACGGAACAACAAATCGTTTCGGCTCCTCAGCATCAACTGCCACAACTGCGAAATGGCCTTCTTTGACATCCTCCGGTACCGGAGTCGAGTCGTCATCCCCAACTTCACGATCGAACTCGTGTAGCCCAGAATTGGACCTTCGACCCAAGGAGAGGCTCCTCTGCAGCCTCCCAACAGCGGTCTTCAGCTTTACAATGCCATTCTTCTTGGCACTGGCCTCAGGCTTAGCCATTTGGTGCAAACGATTGTGCAAAAAGCTTAGTCCTTGTCAACAGGGTGTGGAAACAATTTATAGTGTGGAATGGTCAAATAATTAAAAAAAAGGATCAAAACAGTGGAAATTGATGGGATATTTCGCTCTTCCAAGAGGCCAAAAGTGATGGGACAGACACAAGTTTTGGAGTTGAGTTTGAAGAGCATACCATGTGAGTACACTAAGCGACTCTAAGCATTCCATAAAACGTCTCGATTGGTAGGTACGTCTGTCTCTAAATCATTATGTTGAGACCCGTAAAAATGGGTCATTAGTAAATAGGATAATCTAAATCCATTGAGAAATGAAGGTAGAAAAAAGTACCAAATGTTTTGTACCAATGACATTTGCTATAATTTATGAACTTACTCATTTGATCATCAATGTTGCCTGTGCCTTGTGCTTGTGGCTTGTTCTTAATTGTCTCCCATCCCAATGGGGTTTGATTTGGTCATTAACTACTCTAACAGTTTGTGCAATAATTGATTAGGAACACTTATGGAGAGAGATGGAGATCCGCATTAGTTTGTTTTATGTTTTTGCACTTTCACATATATCCAAACTATAATCTCATCCGATTGAACGAAAGGTACATATAAGCAAGAGAGGACCAATCATATGATCATGATATTCAAATTTATTCAAAACTACTTGCATGCATCCATTTCATACAGACTCATTCGAAAAAACTTGTATTTTCAACGTCGTTAAAGTAAAACTCGAATAGTTAAATTTATGTGTATTCGAAATGAAACGGCTGATAAAAAATATTCAAATAAGTGTTGAAGAACGTTAGTTGGAGTATCTTTTCCGAATTATGGTACATGCTTTTTAAGCTGACCATCTTGTAATTGAGTTAGGGGACAACGGAAAAGGACCTGTCAAGTTTTATTTAGTACTTTGCTTATTAATCATTATCATTTTTTTTTTCTTTTAATTTTTATTATATATATAAATAAATAAAATAAATTTTTTATGAAATCTGGATCTGAAATATTTGAGTTGAGATGGGGAGGGGTTGTAGGGTTTAGATGGAGAGCGTGTGAGCATACATACACGTATAAATGCATACCTCAAAGTACAGACAATCCTTTGTACAACCACCTCTTTAACCTTAACTTCCTCGCCTTTATCACATATTTGGTCGGCTCCTATGACCCAACTCGGCCCAACTAGAGATAGTGCATTTAACTTACGAAGTAGAAGTCCTATAAAAAACTACTTCGAATCAGGCAGAAATCTTCCTTTACAAAAGAAATAGGGAAGGAATGAAGTCCGAAACAGAGATTATTTAAGATTATTGGGAGTGAGTCTCACATTGGTTAATTTAGTGAAAGATCATAAGTTTATAAGTAATAAATATATCTCCATTAGTACGATGTCTTTTGGGGAATCTCAAAGCAAAACTACAAGAGTTTTACGCTCAAATTGAACAATATCATATCATTACGAAGATCCGTAATCAATCTACTTTTCATTTTTCTTATAAAACATTATTAAATTTGTTAAAATTTATTAAAGGAGAGAAATTTATTGTTGTCTCACACCAAACATGTCTATTCCTTAAAAAAGAAAAAAGAAAAAAAAACTCGGTTTTTTCTCCTCAAAATAATTATACCAGTTTTTGTTTTAGTACTTTTTATTCTCAATTTCATGTCCCTTTCCTGTTACCATATAATTAATTAATGAACCCTTCATTTTTTTTACTTTTTACTTTTTACTTTTTACTTCATTTTAACAGTTACTTTATTCTCTCTCTCTATATATTCTCAATAATAATTGTACATTCAAATTGATTAATACTCTGAATTAAATAAATAAAGAGTAAAGTTATGCAAAGTAGAAATACATTCGCACATCTTAAATTTTATTTATTTATTTTCTCGTAAAGTTGATTTGACACAAAATAAACCAATTCTTATTTATTTATTTATTTATTTATTTATTTATTTATTTACCACTTGCTCTCTATGATTCTCATATTTTTGAGTAAATATCACATTTATTAACAAAATTCTAGAATAAGTATTGTTTGTACGCTTAACTTTCAATGAAAAGTTAAAGGCTCTTTCGATAATTCTCTTTTGTTTAAAAGTTTTATTTTGGATATTTAGGAATAAAATGTCCGAACGTCACATTACTGTTGTTAGTAATTATTTTATTTTTATTAAATTAACTTATCATTTTGAGTTTATTTTGTGTGTTGGATGATGAAAGTCCTACATCGGCTAATTTAGAGAATGATCATGGGTTTATAAGTGATGAATACTAACTCCATTGGTATGAGGCCTTTTGGGGGGACAATATCATACCATTGTGGAGAATCGTGTTCGTCTAACAGTGTGATTACTAATTTTAATAAAATTATATAAACTTTTAACCATAAACTTATATTTTAAAAATGGATATTTATAAATCTTATACCATAATAAAACAATAAAAAAAAATCAAAAAAATATGTATAAAATTATTATTGCCATAGATATTTAATTAATTTTTGTTCATTATAGTTTAATCAAAATTAGATTCAATAAATAATCAAATAAGTAATAATTGAGTTGATTCAAAATAAAATAAATTAGGAGAGGAGTAAAAGGAAAATGGATGCCAATCACGGTGAAATGTATATGGACATTCTATATACTCTAGAAGCTAATTTAGTGAGTCTAAACTTTGGTTATCAATAATATTATACACCAAAACTTTAGGATAAGAGATAAATAAAATAAAGGCATCACAATGCGAAGCTCATAGCCTATAAATAATACATAGGAAATATACACAAAGACATCTTGGTCTTCTTCCACATCTGGTAATCAAACAGCAATCTTTGTCTGGTTTTGTTCATTCCATGTGTACTATGTTTACAGAAGCCTCGGGGTTTAAGCTCAAAAGACATTACTTCTTCTTGTTGTTCTTAATTTTATATGCATTTGTACTTTAATTTCTCTACTAAATTTCAATTCCCTGAATGTTTGTCCGAAATTGAAGGCTAATCCATTCATTTTTTTAGGTTCATTTCTGGGGTCATCTTTGTGCTTCGCGACGTCTAAAAGATATAAACTCAGGTTATTGTAATTTACGTACTATCCTAATTCTGTCCTAATTACCCAAATGGAGCGCCAAAATCCCCATGCCATTATTGTTCCCTACCCTCTGCAAGGCCACGTCATACCCTCCGTCCACCTGGCAACTGACCTTGCCCAACGTGGCTTCACCGTCACCTTCATCAACACGCAAGCCATCCACCGCCAAATCGCCAAAGCCCATTCGCCTGCTGGCGATGATTTGTTTTCCGCCGTGCGGAAGTCGGGGTTGGACGTACGCTACCGAACCGTGTCGGATGGACTACCGGTTGGATTCGACCGGTCGCTGAATCACGACCAGTTCATGGAGTCGCTGTTGCATGTGTTTTCGGCACACGTGGAGGAGGAGGTCGAGAGCATTGTGAAAACTGCGTCGTCTGAAGGAGGAGGGCCGCCGGTGAGTTGTCTGATAGCGGATACGTTTTTTGTGTGGCCGTCGAAGGTTGCGAAGAAGTTTGATCTGCTTTATGTTTCGTTCTGGACCGAACCGGCGTTGGTTTTTACGCTCTATTATCACATGAATCTTCTCCGACAAAACCGCCATTTTGCATGCCCGGGTTGGTTCGCTCATACCCAATCATTTGAGTTTTGATTTGGGTTAACTTGAATTTGAATTTGAATTTGAACAGATGTTCGAGAGGACGCCATTGATTACATACCAGGAGTAAGCGCAATCAATCCACAGGACATGATGTCGTATTTACAAGACACAGACACGACGTCGGTTTGCCACCGAATCATTTTCGCAGCGTTTGAGGATGTTAGAGCTGCAGATTTCGTGATATGCAACTCCGTACATGAGCTCGAGAACGACACCGTTTCAGCCTTACAAGCCGAAACCCGGTTCTACACCATCGGACCTATTTTCCCACCTGGCTGCACCAAAACCTCCGTCGCAACCAGCCTCTGGCCCGAGTCCGATTGTACCCACTGGCTCAACTCCAGACCCCACGGCTCGGTCCTCTACGTCTCGTGTGGAAGCTACGCCCACGTCACCAAAACGGACCTCGCAGAAATAGCCCATGGGCTTTCGATGAGTGGGGTCCATTTCATATGGGTGCTCCGACCGGATATTGTCAGCTCAACAGACACCGATCCACTGCCGGTTGGTTACCGGAAGGAGGTTTCTGACCGTTCGATGATTGTGCCATGGTGTCATCAGAGACAAGTGCTGTCCCACCCGGCGATCGGAGGGTTCTTAACTCACTGTGGATGGAATTCAATTCTGGAAAGCATTTGGTGTAATGTTCCGCTGTTGTGCTTTCCTTTGCTTACGGATCAGTTCACCAATCGGAAACTGGTGGTGGAAGATTGGAAGGTGGGGATTAATCTGAGAGATGGACGGCAGATATCTAAGGAAAGGGTTTCGGAGAAGATTAACCATCTGATGGATGCTAAGTCTGGGAGTCAATATCGAGCTGCGGTTGGAGAAGTCAAGAAGGCATTGGAAAATGCAGTGAAGCCTAATGGTTCATCCCATCAATCTATGAACCAATTCATAAAAGATTTCAACGCGGCCATTTCAGACAAATTAGGGGACAAAAAGATGCACAAATCAATGTCCAATGGCTACTAAATTTAGAGCATTTCGGCCCCGAGGCCTGAAATTGTCTTTCCTCCTCTTTCACTAGTGAGCGATAGGTAAAGTTGTGTTAATGGGGTCATAGATTGAACCCTCGAATATAATGTAATCCAAAGGCTAAATTAATAAACACATCCTACAAACCGAACTCTAAAGTCTAAACTTCGAGCTAAGAAAATAAGAAGTATTTGCATCTTTTAACAGTTCAAAAAATGCAAGAACAATATCTACCCATCAACAATCATTTACTTGGTGAAGAAGTTAAATGCTTCCGCTCTAACTTCATAAACAATTTCTACCGATGGACTAGTTCTATTGAATGATTTAGATGTATATGCATAACTAAGGCGCGCTACTTCCTCTTCTATGAACCGGTTTGTAAAGCACAACCGTGACATATTTTGAATGAAAACGATGAGTGAATCCAAGAGCCACAACGGAACGTGGAGTCTCCCGGTTTTCGATAAAAAGATGGTTGAGAACCACATTCTGTGGCAAAGGAAGAGTTCCACCAGCATCTCGGCCTGCTGGGTGACTGAGTAAGGTGTGCTGCAAATGAGGTGGGACGGGTGGTGGATCGCGTGCATCATCTTCGCTTCCAAGGTATACATTGTTATAGGTTGAATCCGGTGATTTTGGAACTTCAAAACCCACTACGGTGGTCTGATCCTGTAGAAAGGATTCAAGTTTTAAAACCCCATTTCGTGTAATTAGAAGATGAACACAACTAGGATTAGCAGCTTACACTATCTTCAGGGAAAGGGTTGTTCATGTTGAAGTGGAAACTTCCAAGCTAACAGAAGAAACTCATCAATTGTAGAAAATTATAAACTGGAAACCTGAAAAGAACACGATTCAGTGAGTATTAACATAAAACTTTGTATAATATTGTACGACCTTGAAGTTCTGGTCTAACTACCTTCAAATCGATCAAGGATATACTTCAACAAGATATAAGCCTGCAATGAATGTTAACCAATATGACATTTCATTCTCCTAACGCGACTAATCAGAAACCTGAAGAGGATGGGCTCCGGTTAGAGGTCAAGACAAGTTACATTCAAATATGAAGTCATGCAGTGCGGTCATGCTCGACGCAGCCAATGGGAACTTATTGAGACACCGACGAAACTATTGAGAAATCCCATTATTGCTTCTTTTGCGTGTTTGTCGATCAAACTTTAAACTTCAGATCCAAGATTATATAGTGGGGAAAAATCTCTTAAACGTTCCACGAGTTTCCAAACTAGCAAATGTTGAGGAGTCAAATCATATTCTCTAGTTTCAAGTTCAATAGATCACTCTAGCTGTTCTATTCGCTTTGGAAGGTGAGAGTCCAAAGGTCAAGGCATCAAGATTGTCTTATTTTCTTTTTGGATTCTAGAAGTGTAATATTTGTAGAAGTATGGTGGGTAACAGCCCAAACCAAGCCCACTGCTAGCAAATATTGTCTAGTCTGGGCTTCCTCTCAAGGTCTGTAAAACGCGTCTGAGGGGATTGGTTTCCACAACTTTATAATGAATTCTTCGTTCTCCTCACCAACCAATGCAGGATGTTGTTTTGGGATGACAATTTGTTTTTAAGAGCAATTAAAGGCTTTTGTTTCTTATGGAGAGCAGATGTCTCTAGCCTTTGCTAGTATACGACGGTGAAGGGTGGTGTTGTTTCACGTTTCTCCCTTTCCTTGGGATTGGGGATGGCACTATGGCAAAGTTACTCATAGATGTGCAAGGGGTTCTTGGGAGAAGGATAGGGCATTCGCAAGGTTCAACGTCTCCCTTTAGATTTGAATAACTAAGGATTTAGTGTTCTTCCATACCACTAGAAATAGAGCTACAATACAAACAAAACAAACATTGGAGAATCAAGTTGTCGAATACTTCAATATAATCATTCCATTGTCAAGAAACAACCAAACCAGAAACATTGAAGTAGAGTAAAGTTCAATTCCTTTGATCAATGATAGGCGTGGTGCTATTGGGTCAAGTAGTACTAATATATATATATATATATATATATATATATATATATAGTATCAAAGAGCATTGTTCCTTCCTGTACTTCCAATAATTACAGGCCCGCTCAATGCCACAGTTTGGCTGTGTCCAGCTTCCAATTCAACAGTACAGATTACCAAGATAATGAAATAAATAAATAAAATCAGATTACAAAAATCCATATATGACACGGTACGTTCGAACCAGGAAGGAAACAAAAGAAAAACACATCATAAGAGTAACAATATATACATAAACATCAAATTAGCATCGGCTGCAGACATCCTCAACCCCAAAAGAGAAGAAGAAACAAAAAGGGTAAGCCACAAAACAGAACCTCATAGGCGCTACCGTACTACTAAGTAAAATTGAAAAGAAAATCAAAGATTGCAGCTCAAGAAGGAGATTAACCTGGATGATTACAGATTTTGACCCTTCAACTATCCACCAAAAAGCTCCAGAGAAAGCCCAGACCGAAACCCAGAAACGAATGGAACAATAATCGAATTCGCAAAGCTCAAACTTACCTGCAAAAAATTATAAGCAATCCATCCAATGATTCAGTCAAATAAGAACAACATTGGCAGTTTGAACTCAGGAAAATTAGGACAGAAGAATCTAAAATTTGAAGAAGCAACAGAGAAAGTCGAGGCAGGGAAAATTGAAGAAGTTGAAATAGAAAAAACCCCTGGAGAAGAGAGAGAAGGAAGGTTAAGAGAGAGATACATACAGGAAAAGGAGAGGTAATGAAGAACGGAAGAAGAAGATGAAGGAAGGCAAAGGGGACCAACACAGAGACTGCCTCCCTAAACGAATCCACGAAAGGGAATCCGAACCAACTCCTTATTTGGAGCACGCATATGCTCTTCCCCAATATATTCATCTCTCTCTTAAAATGGAATTTAACTTTTTGGGCTTGGCCCATCTTTCAGCCCATTACCTTATCATATCTTTGGGCTTTGGCCCATCCTTCAGCCATAACCTCAGCCCATTGCCTCCTCCTATCTTTCGGCTTTGAGCTCTGGGCATAGGCCCATCCTTTAAAGCTGGAATTGAATATTTTGGGCTTGGCCCAACCTTCATGCATAACATCAGCCCATGCCCTCCTCCTATCTTTGGGCTTTGGCTCTGAGCTTAGGCCCATCCTTTAAAAACGGAATTGAAGATTTTGGGCTTAGCCCATCCTTCATGCATAACATCAGCCCATGCCCTCCTCCTATCTTTGGGCTTTAGGATTTGGGCTTTAGGATTTGGGCTTTGGCCCATCAATCAGCCATTCTCGTAATGTTTTCTTTTATTTTTTAATTATAAATATATCCAGTTGACCGTTGCATTAGATGCGGTACCCATGTGACAATTATTTACAATTTAATGTTGTGTAGTTTTATACTCATGCACATTATGCTTCCTTCATATTATTTTACAATAAAATATTTAATTAACTATCGAAAAAATCACTTTCTTAGTTTCGGGATCAAATATATTTCAAAAACGTCGTACATTTTTATCCATATAATTCAAATATATTTATTAATATATAGTTTAATCATTTGAGAATTTTAAATTGGTAAGTTTTAAAAAAACTTAAATCAGAGAATAATCTTGATATTAAATTAAAAGAAAAATAATAAATAAATAAATAAATATATAAAAGAGCGAGGGAAATGGGAAAGCGGCGTCGAAGTGGGCACATCACATGTACGGACATGGACCCGGCGGTTCGGGTGGAGGCGTTGTGGTGCAGAGGAATCTGTCAGTCTTCCTTCCCTTTTATTTATTCCATCATTATTTTCTACCCTAAATTTTATTGTATTAATATTACCCAAAACTATATTATAAATTTACTTTACATTTAAACCACATTTATTAGCATACTTAAGTTATGAAGCCAAAGGGTTGAATACAATTTTTTTAAAAATATTATTAAAAGAATTTATTGAATATTTTTGGCAATTTAATCATTTTGAATTGTATTTTATCTTTTTATAATAAGAATTATTAAAAATTTCACATGCATGTGCATCATAAATGGCAATATGCCAAATATAGAAAAGGTATTTTAGTTTATACCCTATTTTCCCTTACATTTGTTTTATATTTTAACTAAATTTAAAAACAAAAACCTGTTTTTAAAAAATTATTTATAAATTTTGGTTTGATTTTTTTAAAAATGTTTTAAAAAATAAATGAAAGGAATTCGATCCTAAGAATAACCACAAAATATGAGAAATCAAAGAATAAATGATTAAAAAGAGCCAAACACGAAGTATAATAGACTAAATAAAAATATAGAAAGAAAACATAGACTTCAGCTTCCTTGGCCCTAATTCGAAACGAAAGGAACGAAAATTATTTATAGTTTAATTGGTTAAAATATTAATGGGTCAATTTTTTATCCCTCCAACTTAAAAAAAATTAATATGTTTAAAAGTAATTTTGATTTTTTTTTATTTTTATTTTTTGAAAAATGTGATTTCTATAACCCTAAATGTGATTTTTAAGCCAAGAAGAAGATTGAATTACTGCTTTTTAATGTTTCAAAATTAAAAAAATATATATATATATATTTTTTTTTATCTTCCTTATATCAAAAAATTAAAAATTTAAAGTTTGAAAAATAATGTTTATTAAATTCTCAAAAAAAAAAAAATAGTTGAAAAAAATGAAGAGATAAGCTTAGGAGCATTATGATTAGTTTAATTTGGATTCTAAAAAGAATTAGTGTAAGCCAATCCCACGTGAAATCGACAATTAAAAAAAAATATTAAAAAAAATGACGATACGATACGAGGTAAACTTGAAAATTAAAAATAAAATGAAATAAAGAAAAATAGATTAGGGTTTGTGGTATAATGACAGTAGTATACAGCGAAGCAAGAGAAGGACCAATAAGAAAGCGCCAGGTGTGTGAAGCATTGACAAGTGACCAATAATCAATTGCCATTATATACATACCCAAACCCCTCTCCTTCTCTTCAACCTTCCTCCTGTCTTCTTCTTCCCTTTCTTTACCCTTTCGGTTTCTTTATGTGTTTGTGCTTGTTCATCAATGACAGTTGTTGGTTGCTGGTGTAGCATTATCAAGATTCACATTCAAATGGGTTCCGGATTTTCCAGGTTTCTTTGCAATTGAGAATCTTGATGATGCTGCATCTGCAATAAACCACTTTGAATATGATATGCATACATTTCTTGTTCCCACTCACAGCTCATGCCTTTTTCTTCCTCTTTAATTCATAATATCTTCTGGGTTTTCTTTTAATTCTCTTCAATCAACTTATTGTCCTTGTTTTTAGTCTTCAGATTCCAGATCTGGCTGCTCAGCCAACTTCTTTCTTTTTCTTGTTTTTGTCTCGTTTTGAGTAGCAGCCAACAGAATCTCAAGAGACGAAGCTCCAACAACCCCGCAAAACATGGCCCCAACCGAGGTTTTTTTTAATGGTAAGTACATCAATATTGTCCATTTTGAATATAAACTCTCGTACCAATAAGGATGGATAAACTCAAGATCCAACCGTTATAGCTCGAGATGGAGTCGGATAGTGAGTGGGAAAGAAGTGGGGGAGTTGAGTTGAAAAGTAGATAAACAAGAAATGATCCGAAAGAGGGATAAATGTGGTTTGTAAAGAAAGAGTATCTGTGTGTCAGTCAGTGGACGTTGAGGTTTAGCGTTCATAATCCATCACTCTTATTGTGTTTGTTGGTGGACCAATTGGCACGAGACATGCCTGTAATTAGGACCCCTTCTTCTGCCTTCTGTATCTGTAAACACCGACAGTGATGCTTCAGGAATGCCCACTCGCCCGCCTGTCTCTCACCCTCTAGTTACCTCATTTCAACATTATCCCTTCCTATCAATGGAAGATTATGAGTTTATAAACGAAGAATACTATCGTATAAAACTTTTTGAAACCTTCGAGTAAAACCATGAAAACTTATTATTAAAGTGTACAATACCGTATCATTGTGGAGATTAATGATTCAATAATTTGCTGACACTTCATTTCTATTCACAATTTCTCCTTTTACATTTCTTTTTAGCTCCAAATAATCATAATTATAAATATTTATCATTAGTATAAGTTTACCAACGATATCAAACAATTTAAATATACATAAATTCGATATATATATATATATATATATATATATATACATAATTTGATGCTAGGTATTGAAGTTGACAAACTCAAATGGATGACGGTGGTTGGATACCCTTTTAATTTTTAAAATTTAAAAAAAAAATAAAAAAAATTATGTAAAATATTTAAATCATCCATGAAACCGGAAAAATCAAGAGCACACGTCATATTTAGGGTTGCGAGTCTTGTGTTGGGATATAAATATAAATACAAAATTAAAAGGAAAAAAAAAAAGAAAAATTTGAAAATGTGGCAGAGGAAGAGGATGACAGTGGGGGCTAACAATAGTACAAAGGTGGGGCCCATGTGAGAATGATTGATACACATGTGGCAGACACGCAAGGGAAGGGAGGGACCCACCTCCACCTCAGCATTCCACCGTTCACATTTTTTCATAACCTAAATCAAACAAATGGACGTCATCTCATCTCTTTACACATTACCATTCTTTTTATTTATTGTTTGTTAGTCATTGTGTTGTGTGTTTTCGAAACAAAAATTGAGCTATGCAAAGGGTATGTTAGTAATTAGGCAAACGAGTTTTAGTCGTTAACTAGAGAAAAATTTGATCTACAAGTGAGAATTTGTATTTGTATGATCAATTCGAAGTTGTTTATCTCAAATGTAAGTATGAGAGGCATAATCAAAACATGGGGTCTAAGGAAGTCGTATTTTTTATCTATAGTACTCTTGTTGAGTTTGACATATCGAACACAATCGATGCAAAGTTGTATTTGGTACTCACTATCACTGCACTTTGTGTCGTCCTATCACATCTTATCTTGTACACGATACAAGATAAGCTATTATGCATGATTGACAAGTTACTTAAGAGGTAGCAAGCAAAAGTTAGCATACCATCATGACCTTACTATAGTTATCTATACAAGATGAAGTCAAAACTCCACCAAAAACACAATATTCAAGTGGATCTACATTTCATTTACTATGTTAGCATCATTTTATCATTGGAATTTATAAGTATTTTAAAAATATGTATTTATAAAGACAAAGTAGGTATTTATAAAGAAAGATAGTTAGGAAAATTTTGTGGGAGAGACTACATATAACAGCTCAAGCCCACCGCTAACGGATATTGTGTTTTTGGGCTTTCCCTATTAGCTTCCCCTCAAAGTTCTAAAACGCGTCAAAATTTTTCATACCTATATAAGGAATGCTTCGTTCTCTCTCGTTTTTCATACCTTTATAAGGAATGTTTCGTTCTCTCTCCAACCAATATGGGATCTCATAATCTACATCTCTTGGAAAGCCAACATCTTGTTGGCACATTGCCCGATGACTGCCTCTTATATCATTTGTAACCACTAGCAGTTATGGTTCTTTTTGAGCTTTCACTTGCGAGCTTTCACTTGCGAGCTTTCTTTCAAGGTTTTTAAAATGCGTTTATTACGGAGAGGGTCTAACCCTCTAACCAGTGCCACACACAGTCTGACTCTTATATTATTTGTAATGGACCGAGCCCACTGCTGACAAATATTATCTTTTTTGAGCTTTTGTTTTAAACTTTTAACTCATAGTTAGGAAGATAATGTGTAAGAGTGAAGAAAGTTATTGGAGGTATAAATAAATTTTCTTTATAATTTTGTTCTACTTCTTGGCGATTGGCCGCTAAAGGTCGAAGAAGCCAAAGGAGTTTTATAGTTGGCTTTCCCTCGATTCTGAACCAAAAAATCTTAAACATCCACAACGTCAATTCAAGACCTCATCAAAACCCTCAAAGCAGTCGAAGCCAATCGTCAAGCCAATCCCTCCTCGAAACCACTCTCGGTAATCATTTCAACAATCTTCGCTCCGGCGCCATTCGACTCCACCCCCATGGGATTAAGATCGATGAGAAGACCTGTACTGTCCATTACTAGCTCCTAAACGATTTGATCAGATGCATTTAACATTGTTACATTCTACGTGATGGTTATTGTTGTGCCAAGCGATGGAATTTTGAGTTAGGATCTGATATTTTGCTTTTGATGGGTAAGGCTGAGAAATGAATTATGAAGATGCATAGTGAGTGCTTGAAGGTGGAACCCCATTTGTATCATCTAATTATCTGAAGCTTTTGAGAGGTAGGGACGATCCGAAGTGCATGTTTATTGTTCGACGAAATGACTGAGAGAAGTAGTGCCCCAAATTCTAATAGATACTGACTACTTACAAATGGTCTCTACAAGGAAGGAGATATGGGTTCGAATTAGAGCTCACCTTTTTTCATTGTATTACCTTGTTTCATTATCAAAATTACTGCACCTTCACCAATTTCCTTACTGGTGGCGGACGTGAGCCAACTCGAAACTAAACAGAAAATTTATGCGTCAAATGAGAAATTATTTAGCAACTGGGCTATATAAAAAAAGTATATGTTCCAACGAATCCTACAAAACTGTTAATCCCGATGTGGAAACATGCAATTTAATTCAGTAGATAAGATGGACCACCCCCTCTGCCTGTATTGTTGTGACATATGAGAAAGATGTGGGACTACAGGACCCGATTACGTTAAATGCCAATTGGTGAGAACAAGAAACAACGTGAAAAATAATAGATACCCAGAATGTGATGTCAATGTGAAATGGAATTAGAATCAAAAGATGCCAGAGCAAGGACGTCGTACCAAAATTCTCTCGCCAGAAAGATGGCTGTTTCCGGATCCTAAAAGCTGGGAGTCCCTGGCTCTTGAGCACTCATCTGGGTTTTAACCAATACTTCCTCAGTTGTTATGCACCGACACAGCAGCCACAAGCACCAAGCTACAGGTCCTAAGGAGGTCAATGGCAGCCCAGGTAACTTCGATATACATGAGCCTTTTGTTTTAAGCAGTATGCTTTACGTAGGCCTCATAGTCATTTTTACCTAATATAGATCTGGATATTATGTATACATACACAAAAGGACGCTACACCACGAAGCAAGTCCATTACAAGGAGCACCACTCTGTACATTTTTTAAACCCAGGGGTGCGGTGTGTTTATACCCGCATAGTCTTAAGCTAATTCCAGTAAAGACGAGATCATTGAGAGAACAATAAAGAAACAAAAAACTAAAAGCTATGCAAAATTCTTGAGCTACACCTGTGGAGCTCCAGATAGTATGGGACCATCGATGGCTGAACCTTGCTTTCTCACGGCTGGAATGCTAAGGGAACGTTTTTTCATTTTCAAAGAACCAGAAGTTCGTACATTCCTTTCTTTCTCCTTCACATGAGAAGAATATAAGCAGAGTGAATTAGATGACTCACTTTTAGAGAGCAGGAAGTGGTCTAGGTTCTGGCGATACTTATCAACTGCCCGAGCACTCGTTTGCCCCTTAGAAACAGATCCAGCCTTTTCCATATACTCCATGTCATCACCACCCGACCAGGATCCATCGTTCATGTCCAGCATTGCCAGATCATCATATTCTTCATCTGATTTTGTCGACTCTTCATCAACAGAGCCTTCCTGTGGGCCAAAAGAATAAAATACTCACGTAAAATTTTCAAATTCAGATCTTTCAGTAATCCATAATGATCCTTGCAGGAATTCTTCTGAAGTATGAAGCAGAATACTAACCAACATTGATAAATACAAACCGATGCCAAAACAAGGTATAAAGTGCATGACATTGTTAAACAAATTATATTGAATACTCATGAAGCAAGAACAGTCCCCTTGGATAACTCAAATCAGTGCAGAGGACTGCTTTGAAGCATATTTAACAATATTTCTTGTACGCAGAACTAGACAATACCTCCTCGTGAATCTCAATGTCACCATCTTCACTAAAGTCTTCATCGCTGCCAAGCTCTTGAGGATCATCAGCCTCTTCATCACTCCCATGCACTGAGATATCTTCCTTAAGCTGAAAGGAATAATGGACCATCAAATCTAAGCAGAAATTGGCATTCTACCGACTACCACCAAAGAGATATGATGGGAAGAAAATAAAATTAAAGGAAATATACAGAGCACATATACGGCTTGAATGTTAGCTTTTAAATTTCCACAACTACTGTGTACTGTGCGTTGGGAAGAAAAAGACTTGAGAGGAAATGCACTTCTAAACAAAATAAAAAATTACCTAACGAGTTTTTCAGAAAATTAAAATCATTTCCAAAACTACCTCCTTGGAAGGTCCATCGGAAAACCTTGGAGAGCTGCAGCAAGAAGAAAGGTATTTACTAGTATCAGTCCCATCCGCCCTGGATTCATCAACACTCCCTGCACGGCTAGTCCCACCAGCATCAGTGGGCCAAGCACTGATGCCATAGAAACCAAATTGAAGATTAACAGGTTCAGCTTTATCAATCTGCAATGGACCATACATTGGAATCCCCACTCCATTCTCAGCCCTCGGGTCTAATAAACGCTTCCCATTTGTATCACCAATTGTATCAACAGGCCATGCCTTAGCCACAGATCCATCAGTATTAACCATAGCCATCAGATTCCTAGAGGAACCTTTCCTCTGGATGAGTTGGAACATGCACTTGGAGCTCAATGAGTTGGCAGCACACTGGTTCCTGTATTCCTCGTCAATAACAGGAACAGTATTCCGCACAGGATCATATAGCTGTTCGCCAGATTCACGCCTGCGAAGGCAGCTAAATACTGTTGCATGGATAGCAGCTACACTCTTGTCAACATTGGTATTGTTTATTTTAGGGATAAGATGCTTATCAGCCCTCTTGCATAAATATTCTTGAATTGTCCTAATATTACGTATATACTTCACATATTTGTTCTTAGCTGGGTCAAGTGTCATATATTTTGCTCTCACTGCAAATCTTTCCAAGTGTTTGTCTTCATTGGTGATGTAAATCATGAATGGTACAATTGATGGATGCTTCTTCATAAGCCCCATCTGCAAAAGCAGCATCAAAATATATGTCAAGAAGAATATAAAATCTACATAGATAGGGAAGAAAAGACTACTTAGATTACACACCACAAAGTTTAGGCTTAAGTGAACCCCCTCAACAACAACTGATTCTTTCCGCTCTTCCCATGCAGTAATCAGCCTATCAAGACTGTCGATCACCATCTCACTCTGTGCCTTGTATCCTTCAACAGCCATCTGCTTTTGACTGATGAGCTCAGTGCAACGGTCTGATGGTTGGCCATCAAGTCTTCCAATGGATGAACTCTCCAGTACTTCATCCTTCAGATATGAATGAGTATTTCCTGCCAACTTTTTTGCTTTTCTTTTCGCCTTAGCCTCAGCAACAGCTACTGGATCCAAATACTCCCCAGCATGGTAAGTTGAAGCCCAGAGCAGAGGATTTTGTTTCTCATCTACAAAACTCCTCATCATGTGCCGAATTGAGTCAGTTGATATTACTGTCGTAATGCCTAACCTGCTACCCTGTCAGAGAGAAAATGCAGTATACCCAAGTTAAAACATTCTTAACCAAAACATACCTTCAACTACAACTCTACGTCATTCATTGCAGTTAACTGTTGGCAAAAACAACTGTAAAAGCCTCTGAATAATGCAACACATTTTGGTCACTAAAGATTAAGGTGCCTGCAAGGACATACCAGCAGGGCAGACAAGGTAGATTTGCCGCAGCCACTAGTACCACATAATAATACAGTTACAGATTCCTTCCTTTCTCGGATTCTGTGACAAGAAATTATTGTTACGAAGAAATACAAATCAGCTATACAAGCATCACAGAGAAAAAAAATATAATAATAGTGCTTAACAAACTTGCAGGCAGCCCCAAATCTTATTCAAAGATCCAAAGAAAATAAGCAATAATAAACCCAAACAGAAACAAATATAATGAATTAGCAAGACTACCCATCTCCCAAGCAATAACAAAAGACACAAAATTTACTCCATGAAACCTATGAATTGTCACAAGTGTTCGTATTTTGATTCAGATCAGAGAAAACGACCGAATAAGGAACCGAGAATTCTACAAGATTACAAACAGCACCAGCAGTCTCTTTTCAAAGGTAGAAAATACTGCTTTCTCTCCCTCAAATTTCCCATAAATTTCTCTCCTCAAACCTCCCACAAGATAGACCAGCTGTACTAGTTACTGGGGTTCATTTAGAACCTAGGGGAGCACAAAACAAGCAGGACAGGATAAATGACCTATTAATACAATATAAGGTCGTGAACAGTTCTTTTAACTAAGATGGCATCCTTAGAATACATTTTGAAGCAACCATTTGAAGTGGTATTATAGATACCAAGGTGAAAAATATTGCATAAGATAAAGTACTTTAAATATTTCAAGTGTCAAATACGCCGACTACTTGCATCAGATAGACAAGGTGTAAATCTAACAATACTCAGATCAACATAAAAACTTTCTGGCATGAAGATTATCCCAAAAATCATCCTTGTAAAAGGCAACTTGAAGTTAAACTGCACATGACTAAACCACAGAAGTACAAAGTTGTGGAAAAAACAAAAGTAGGTTTAAAGCAAATAAGAAAAACAGTTAAACATAATGGGGACTCTATTCAAAGACTCGCATCATTTATGAGTTTACCTGCATGCTAAAAGCAAGTCAGCCCTCTGGTTGGGACTCACATACTTGTATTCTGCCAGCGCTTTGCATACAACATCTAAGAAGTTTGCTCTTCTTACAATCAGAGTTGTGCGCCTTTTATATAGCTCAAACGGAATGTTTTTATTTTCACCATCTTTACATGATTTCAGAGGTTTCCAAACCTCAGTTTCAGCAAAACGCACATCCCAATTATTAACACATTCTTTTTCAGAAAATCTTGTCCCAGACCCTTCAGGAAGCACACCATGACCTTTCCGCATCAACTCAAAAGCCCTTTGGCTTATCTAATCATGTAATCACACAAAAAAAAAAAAAAAAAAAAAAAAAAAAAAAAAAAAAAAAAAAAAAAAAAAAAAAAAAAAAAAAAAAAAAAAAAAAAAAAAAAAAAAAAAAAAAAAAAAAAAAAAAAAAAAAAAAAAAAATTAATCTGGAGTTTACAATGCTTGGAATTAAAATTTAAATAATGAATCGAATTCATTGTTTGATGTGTTACCAATAACAGAAGTACACGTTATTTTTAACTATTATTTTTCCACCGAGAATTTCATGAAAGTAGGAGTAAAAATTATGATAACTTGCGGCTCCCAACTCACAACACATCTCTCTCGAATTTGTAAATCTTGGATGAAGCTGGAAAGTCGACCACATAAAATTGTATACAAGGCATCGTATGTTCTCCATCACACTCATCAGTTCAAAAAATGTTAAAATATCCATCAGTTTATTTGGAGCAAACAAATTGCATTGATAGAAGAGGATGGACGAGATTAAAACAACTTAGAACGCCACATAATTACTCAGGTTCATCTATGCATAATGGTAAACATCCAAGCTCCCAAACAAAAAAGCATAAACTTGTACGCCACATGATGACAATGCACTTGTACATGCAAGAGAGAATTGGAATAGGAGATCGAAAATAGACCATTTTTGAGAATGGTCAAGACATTGAAAAAGACCGGTATGTGAAGTTCAAAACCCAGCAGCGGCAATTGAGTACGAAATAGAAACGGTAATTCACAATTAAAGCATACAAAAGGACAAGAAGCTCAAGGGACAAAGGAAAGACAGAGAGAAATAAACATAATTGAAGAAGAACAAGATAGCGGAAATCTATACTTCATAAAATTCTACAAATATAACGCAAAATTAACTACTTCACCAGATAGAAATGCATGACACAAAAAAATGCATAGCCAATCGAAACAGGTTGCTCTCGCAGATTTTGAAAAAAATAATAAAAGCAAAAAGAAGGAAATAGATATGCATGTCACAATATCAAAAAAAAAAAAAAAAAAAAAAAAAAAAAAAAAAAAAAAAAAAAAAAAAAAAAAAAAAAAAAAAAAA